AAGAAAGCCTCAGTTGCCATCTTCGCCGTTTTGCATGGTTTATCTTTCGTTATTGGAAAATGAAGCGATCGCCGTATTTCGATAGATTGTATTTCAAAGTTTTTGTTTGAATGATGCCTATTTTGTGCCTGAAAAATGGGCAGATTATTTTATCCGATCCATAAATTTTCAAAGTAAAGACACGGCTCGGTTAATCAAATGTTTACAAATACCCAGTTTCATTGAAGCATTTGTTTTTTTCCGCAAACAAAGATTGTTCATCAAGAAATAGCGGCAAAATTTTAGGAACAGTACTGTTGACATCAGATGTTTTCTTGGGATGAGATAGTTGAATACTTGTTCCAAACACCGTAGACTTTATGCTCCAGAGAGAATGGCTTCGTCCGTGCTAAACTCAAAAAATAAAAATGATCGGAGGAATTATGACAAATACATGAAAATTCAATTAAATAATATTCTAGGGAACCGAAATGTTTCAAAATTTTAGTTTTATCATTAAATAGTTTACCATGGAAATCTTTGGTTATCTCCTTATGTATGGTTCTGGAGATAGGTTTATTGACAATTCTACTGCAGTTTCTCCTTAAACTTTCCTCTCTGTAAGATGTCATAGAAAAACTGATGTTTGCATTTCACGAAAAAGTAATTTTTCCGTCTAAAATGAGCAGCGTAATGCGTTCTCTATACTGTGTGGTCATTTTAGCCACGATACCATTACCTTATTGTTTCATTAAATTTGATAATGCATAAAGATTTATGCGTAATAAATTTAACATTACTTGCTTTGAAATCTTCGGTTCCATATCATCCTGAGCCTACCCAATCATAGGAGTAGCAGATTCCTGATAACCAAGGTTACCAGATTCTCCACAAATCTCCACAAGACATTGCTCAATTTACTACCATTTACAATTATTATAACAGAAGAGTAAAAATTAAGATTTTCTTATTTTTTAGTAAAATTTTACACTATTATTGATTTTACTTTTAAAATCACGAACAAAATTACGTATTCGAAGGCTTCCTAAGGATAATGATGAACTCTGGCAACTGCCGGCAGGATTCCCTTTATCGATCGTCATACTCTAATCAAAACGTTGCGTCGAGACCAAAAATGGAATTTTGCTAGCACGCGTGGAATGAGAAGGTAATCTTGATGACACGTTACTTTCAACTCCACCACTCAGGACGACGGGTCATTTCGTGGAGGAAAACTTTTGAGGACCTCACTGGGAAAAGAGAAAATTTAGAAATAAATTCTAGTGCGCAGGCTAAGATATGTTGAACTTTGGTTTCCGCTTAGAGGTATTATGTTGCAAATGTGAATAATTTTGCTGATAATAAACAGAATATATGGTAGCCTGGCAATTTTGACCTACTCTTTCTGCTGAAATATTCATTTTTACCCACCTCCAGTTTTTCAACCCAACTTTCCTAAACTTATAATTTGAACAGAATTGGTAATGACCTGAATTAATACGATATTTTCCTGTGATTTCATGAGGTTATATAGGTTGCTAGAGCTGGCATTTGGCATGGTGAGTGCAGAGGCTGAGGCAGGTAAATGAGTGCGGTTAGCGGTTGTGGTGGGGCCAACGGTCCTTCCTTGTTCGGAGCTTCGGACGTCACACCTCCGCTGGTTTATTGCCTTCGCAATTGCCCGGCGCAATATATGTTCTCGCAATACTCATGGCATAGTCCTTACATTACAAAACATTGTAATCGAGCCACAGAGGTGCAAAAAAAAGTATTTTAGGAAGCGATCTTGAAGATCGTAATTGGAATACTCTGCATTTATGTAAAAAAATATTGTATCTTTTCTAACGAAATAACAATCTTGTTTATAGCTCAGTACTGAGATTATATCATAAATTGAGCGAAGATACCAATGATACATAACCTTATTGAATTTGATATATATTTATTGCTTGTTTAAAATGCGATGCGCGGACACCGATATACTCCGTTAATACATGCATATCCTATGATGAGTTGAATTTTTTATTTTACGAATATATTGTTTCAAATAGCGGCCACAGGATATAATTGGCCCATATGCATCCCCACAGTTGAGCTGTGGTCGGGCCGTATCCGGGCAACCATACATAGCGAGCGTGAGAAGACTTACTGAGAACATGCTACTTTCTTCCATGCTGAAAGACTTTCGTAGCAACTAATTTAATTAAAAAACAATATTGCTTGCACGCTTCCGCTTGTGAATAAATACAATAAAGTTACTTTATAACTAAAATTTCGAGTTGAAAGTGCTACTCCCTGCTTATTTCATAACTGCAATAATATTTGACATTAAAGAATCGATATCTAAACATGAAATTACTTCTATTTTTTGCGTTGTCCTGCGAAATCATATGATGAGGTCTATAAATTGTTATGCTATCAATCCTTTGTTCCTTGGAAAATATTGCGATAATTTCGTGTTGCCTTTTTGAATAGTTATCGCTCGTTCTTTACATATATGACATGCCAAAGACCATGCATGCAAGGAGCATATATATATTAAATAATTTGAATAATTTTGTTCCTTTCGCATTAGCATAATCCAATCACATTTGTCAAATACTATTATTGCTGCTCAAAGTAAGAGAAGAACCGATTGAGATTATTTCCTGAGCGCAAACTAGGCATCTTAAACGCAATAAAATAATTATTCGTGGTACTTTTATTGCGGCAATATAACCACCGCAATTTGTTTTAAATATAAAGATATTGATATCGATATGTAATGCCTCAAATTAAAAATGAATACATTTTTTTCTAAATTTCATTCACTCGACATGAGTAAGTTTCCGAAACCTCGATATAATATTTTACCTTTAAATGAATATGTTGTGACTTGTGATTCAGCTACATCATATTAACAGTAAGTTCCACTTCCATGTACCGAAGTGACATAGAATGATTTACAGTCATTATTATCCGGTAAATTTTAACTTCAAATGAATATGTTGTGACTTGTGATTCAACTACATCATATTTACAGTAAGTTCCACTTCATATACCGCAGTGACATAGAATAATTTACAGTCATTAATATGCGGTAAATAATTCTCCACTAAGGCAGAGTAAGGACATTTTTCAAAGCAACACCCGCACAGCGGCCATGGCTGCACACGGGATTAGCTCCAGCTCTAAGAAATCGTTGTATTGATCAGGTTTAGTGTGACTGAGTTCTATCAATCATATTTGACCCAACATTTACTATTCCTGAACTTGCTCGTCTCTCATGAAGTTCTCTAGTCCAACATTGTGATGAGAAGGCTACTGGCTGATGGATGTCCCATTAATAAACTTCCTGGAATTTCTGGTACAGTTAAATTGTCGTCAATGGCGAAAATTGCGTGATTAGTGCCCTGTGCGCTGCATGCATAAGCAAGAAGAGGTAAAAAAAATAATTTATTTGTTTAATAAAAATAAATTCTAAGAAATTCATGGAACTGGTGCGTCTTTCAAAACTTACCTTCATAAATTAACAATATTCACAAGATATTTTTTTATTTCGCTTTTGAAAAGGAATTAACGGAAATGAAAACGTCGGTAGCCTATTAATGACTTAATATTTTATTTCTGCGCAATTTTGTTAGCTGAAAAAAATGTACGATTGTTACATGGGATGGCAATTATAATTTTAAATTGAACCACTCGAAGCTGGGATATTGTGTGCCACAAAATTATTCATACAACGTTTGTTAGTAAATTTTGATATATGTTTTTTTTTAATTAGTTGAAGGATAACAATTATAGCCAAATTTACAACGAATCAAAACGGAACGAAATAAAAGAAGATTTTACATGCTATTGGTTAAATAATCATCCAATTTTACTGGACTAACCTGCATTTAGTTTTAGCTATTATTAGTGAATATTTTCATAGAATACGATCATGCAAACTTTTTCACTCATAGAATTATATCTATAAAATCTCAGAAAATGTCAAGATCAACGAAAATAGTATCATTGAAGTTCAAATATTATCATTTAGTTCTTCAGGTGTCAGTAAGTATTACAAAGAAATCAGCTGTAATAAAATTCACCACAGCGATTCATGTTCCACATTCGCCTAGAATTTACGACAGACAATTATTGGCGGCGACGGCGGCTCTCGTGGCAAGATCGAAGTAGCAGCAGTGTTCCCTAGGAACAGCAGGCAGTTCGCCTAGAATTTACGACAGTCAATTATTGGCAGCGACGGCGGCTCTCGAGGCAAGATCGAAGTAGCAGCAGTGTTCCCTAGGAACAGCAGGCAGGCGGTGTTCTGTGTTGGGTAAAAGAGAATTGAGAGAGAGATTGAGTGAGAGAGATTGAGTGAGAGAGATTGAGTGAGAGAATGAGATTGAGTGAGTGAGAGTGAGTGAGAGAGAGAGTGTGTCGAAGTAGCAGCAGTGATCGCTACGAACAGCAGGCAGTCGGTGTTCTGTGTTGGGTAAAAGAGAATTGAGAGAGAGATTGAGTGAGAGAGATTGAGTGAGAGAGATTGAGTGAGAGAGATTGAGTGAGAGAATGAGATTGAGTGAGTGAGAGAGAGAGTGTGTCGAAGTAGCAGCAGTGATCGCTACGAACAGTAGGCAGTCGGTGTTCTGTGTTTGGTAAAAGAGAATTGAGAGAGAGATTGAGTGAGAGAGTGTCAGAGAGAGAGAGAGGGAGTGTGTGTCGAAGTAGCAGCAGTGTTCCCTAGGAACAGCAGGCAGTCAGTGTTCTGTGTTTGGTAAAAGAGAATTGAGAGAGAAATTGAGTGAGAGAGAGTGAGTGAGTGAGAGTGAGTGAGAGAAAGAGTGTGTGTCGAAGTAGCAGCAGTGTTCCCTAGGAACAGTAGCCAGTCGGTGTTCTGTGTTTGGTAAAAGAGAATTGAGAGAGAAATTGAGAGAGAGAGATTGAGTGAGACCGAGAGAGAGACAGGGAGAGAGAGAGAGAAGAGAGAGAGAGAGAGAGAGTGGCGGCGAAAAAGAGACAAGGAGGCATTTGCTAGTGAGGCAGGAGGCCGTAGTTCAGTCTCCTCCTCCGCAGCTTGAGCAGCTCAGGCTGCAACGCAGGGCTGATGGCATACCGACCGTGGCGCCAGACAAGGGACATCGGAACTCGACTCAAGCGGTTGTTCAAGTCATTAACGTTTATTTTAAATGTTTTATTCAGCTTAAAGCTGATTCTTGGATAATATGAAGTGATCCTACAATTTTGAATTATTCCTCTTCGTGACGGATTCTTGCACTCAAAATAAAGTACAATTTGGGATCTTCTGGCTACTTGGATACTATACCTCATCTCCTAGGATGTCTCCTTTTGCTTGCCGAAGTGAAATACGTATGAAGTTGGAATTCATGAGTATCTCTTAAAAACAGTGAGTTTCATTTTATAAGGAATAATATATCTAGAAATTTTCAGCTGGTCAAAACGAATCAGCTCACAGTTTGAATTTATTTAGTATGTAAACGATTTCATGTCAGTGCTTGTGCTGCAAACAAAACAACAACATCTAAACCAATGGGCATTTGAAGACTAATGCTTACCCGACCGATTTACATAGTTTTAAGCATTGATTAGACTCAAGTACTGAGATAATTAAGATATAAATATCAGCTATATGAACAACATTATGTTAAATATTATAACGTTTTTTCTGTGACGACATCGTCTCCAAGGTAATAATAAAGTTAATATAAACAGAAGCCCTCATTCAAAAAGCAAGAACTGCAAGATAAATATTTAGAAATAGCATGTATGATAAATTTGACTACCTGAGTAAGTTTCAATCAACCATTAGTATGTTAGTGAGTTAGTCAATTCATTTGCCTCATAAATGCTTCTCAATTCATTCTACTAATCATAATCTAGTTATGTATCATGAATGTCTGTTGTAATTTGTAGTTCAAGTGTGAATCAATCATTTCTTAACTGTTGGATTGTGTGCGAGTGTCTGTCACCACAACAAATGAATAATTATTTATGGTTTTGACCTTCCTCAGCCTGCTAACTTATAAAGAAACATTTCAGTGGCTAACCAGTCTAATTTCAAATCACTATGTTGTAACTTAAGCTATGAAACTTGTACATACCTGCCTGCAATGTCAATTTAATTTATCTTGAAACACTATTTGTTGAGACACAATATTGCATAAATGATTATGACAAAGTTATTACAACTGTTAATTGATATGGATGAGAATAGATTGCCCCTTTGAAACAGAACAATAATTAAGCAATGATAAATCACTAGGAACTAGCTATCAGTTTTAATCTTGTTTTGAATGAAGACAATGTTTATCCCAACTTTACTAATAACTCAGTTTGCAAGCAAATGCAAGTTTTAAAGTAATACGGCCAATTTCCTCTTTTAATGATTGACCAAAGCACTAGTAAAGAATTCAGACTTTTATGACATGAAATTCATGTGACTGATTCTAAACCGTGTTAATGGCTGAAAAATTACTTCGTCAGTCACCTTATGCTTATTATTACATTAGATAATATTAGCTTATTATCGTCAGTCATCTCATGATTATTATTAGAATTGCTTCTTAACATTTATTCCGTCTGGTAGAAGTATAAATCGAATATATTTGTTCACATTTTTGCCTTAAGTCCAATAAACCCATAATCAAGCTTTCTCATAGTGTTAGATTCTTTGCCTATTTATGGATCATGCAAAATAAAATGCTACAGTAAAAGAGGTAAAAATCAAACTTTCAACAAATATAGTCAAAATGGGCTACAAAAAATCATTTTATTTTTTCGCGCCGAACGCACCGCGGAAAACAGCCTACTCACTTTCACTTTTAAATTTTGAATTCGCCTGCGCGAAACGTTGCGGCGTTCGTTGGTGAGACTCGACGGCGGCGGCTGAGTTTACACTGGTAAAAATGCGAAAAAAGGCTCATCTTGTTGACGTTGAAAAATTATTCAAATTTTGAGATGAATCCAGAATTTCTACAGGATTATAAAAATCCATCTGATATCATTACCTTAATTCTTCTAGTCAGGTTTACAATGTCTTTTTGAATTGTTTCACAGTGTGTTATCAAAGAAGTAGCATTAATGAGAAGGCAAATATTTGATGAATCTGATTATATTTATGCCATAGAACAATCCTGTTCCTGAACATTGCCCTCTCTAGCGCCTCTCTTTGCCCTCTCCAGCGCCTCTCTTTCTGTGGCTCCGCCCATTGCATCTATGACGACCCATCTTGTTTAGCACAAATCGACTCTCTTTTTCGGCCTAAAATTTATTTCTTCGAAATAATTCTTCAATGATCAGTTAATCATCGGCGTTCTCCCATATTTACGAACTCTGGTGTCCATTTGACCGATCATGCTCTTCGCTCCAATTCATAATCGACTAAAAATTTATGGATCTTGCTATATGATCTGTCTGTCACGCTATATGATCTGTATAGGATAGCTATATGATATGTATGATTTATTAATACTTTATTTTATTCCATGTAAAATTCGTGAATGAAAAATGCCTTTCATTAATAATTTAGCTCAAAATGTAGCTGGAGCTAAAGAAGCGTTTTAGAATTCGTTATATTGTTCTCTTCGAAATAATGCTAACAGTTTAAGAACTTTGCTGCATTCTGACTACCAACCTTAAGAAAATGTGCATGTTTCCATTTCATGAACTTCAAGAAATGCGGATTTATTTCAGGAGGGCTCCGTTAAATTCCATATTTCTCTCTATCAAAACATGCCCAAGAATTGGGCAGTAAGGCAGCATATATTTCAACGCTCAATATTGAATTGAACGACGCCATTTGACCATTCAAGTCCAATTAAATGAAACGGCATATCATCATTGAAGCGCTTTCGAAAATGAGTAAGCGTGTGTAATAAAGTAAATATACCATTTGATTCCTCTAACAAAATTTAGAGTCGCCCCAGCTACTGGTAATCCAAATCATAAGCTGACGCGTCCGTAAATTTTCACTGGGTCAGCAGATGAATCTTTTTCTTCATTATAATTTAATTTTATGGATGCGATATTTAGCAGAACAAACATTTTATCTGATTGGTCCTGCAACTTTTTGATATCAACAAAAACGGCACGACTAAAATAGAACACTCCAGAATGAAATTTGTTGACAATCATTCGCTGACTTGAAACTTTTGTTTCGCTGACTTGAAACTTAGCGTATCGCAGAACTTTTCTTATAGAGGCTTGGCTTCTATATAATAAGTAGCCCCCAAAAAATTCTTTGTGATGCCTAACAGGGCTACCTAAATTTAACTTAGAGTAAAACGAGTTTTTGTCGCTAATCTGAATAGTGAACACCAGCTTGCCTGTTAGCACAGTAATCGTGCTCTCTAATCTTGCGAATTCGTTTAAATAAATAAGCCTATGCAAGGTTATATAGGTCAATCGAAATTACCCTGGCTTATCATGAGTTAATAGCTTTGATACCAGGACATAGTAGATTGCCGTATAATACCAGCTGCTGATCAAGATGCAGGCCAAGTTTGGCACTTGCTGCGTTTCTACCAATTCAAATTCAGGTTCAAACAGGATAACACCAAGGTTAAACCACCAGCACGGCAATGCCATGGCGCCATCTTGACAAGTCAAGCTGGTCTGTGATAAATTCAAGCGAAAAAACTGGACTTCGCTTTGTGTGCCTCGTGAATTTATGCTTCAAGCCACATGTAGCTAAATGATGTACGCAAAAATTTTGATGGGTAATGCCGATGATGTGAACTGATGCGTATTAAAGTCACTTCTTAAGGAATTTCACATGCATTGTAGATTTTTTATGTACAACATTGATAATGTTGCGAACACCAGTTTTATGAATTTTAGTGCTTAATAAATTATTATTCATGAGTTGAATTAGATCGTCAGTTCTTATAATTAATACATCATAGGTATTTGCAGTAATTATCAGCACCATGCCATCGATTTCTAATTAAAATCACATTAATTTTACTAGCGCTACAAATTAAAATGTCACTCGATAAACCAACGCGTCAAATCAAACCACGATATCATTGTGCATCACCAGTAGTTTATCTCGCCTAGGTGCGAGCGAGGGCCGTCGCGACATTTCTGCGAACGTTTAGTGCAACAAGCTCAGATTTATTGACTGCCGACCCAGTAGCGTGAAGCGGGTGCCAACTACTGCTTAAAATTATAAAGATTGTCTCGCTGAAATGTTTTTTTTTTATTCTGCCTCAACATCCTAAGTAAACATCTCATTTCCTTGGATGACTTCTGATAAAAAAATTCTCATTTGTTTCATTTTTAGGACCATAATTTGAAAGTAAAGGCACAAAGTAAATAAAGAATATGTTCCTAACTCATGAACTGAAGCAAGAATTTGCTCAGCCTAATACACCTTAGCTCAATACCACTTTTTCGTAACAACTTACTTGGCTTTATAATGTAATATTTATATTTCCAATTTGAGATTAAAATGCAATAAATAATTTGGTAAAATTTCACTGATATAAACGGATGGTGGATCTGGTACCGCTCATGCCGAAATAACGTAATCATAACTTTAATATGTGTATCATATTTATGGGGCATCAGTACAATTATTAAATACGAATGTAATAAATATTTTCAAATGTTATAGCAGCTCCAATAAAGCAACTAAACCATATCGTAGATTATTATACACTAGAGCAGTCATAAAGTTCATTTGATACGCGTACCCCCAATAATATTCAGGATTTGGTGCCATCCAAGAAGTCTCCCCAAGGCCTCGATAAAGTTCAAGCTAGCCTAACGAAGACTATGCTGTATAATAATCACCCTAGATAAAATAATAGCTAATTATTTTATTTCTTCTAATTATTTAGCGAAGTTGCTGCAACAAACAAAGATATTTTAGAACAATTCGTGGATATTTTTTCTCTTCGATGACTCTCAGATCAATAGTATGCTTATAATCTTTGATATTGAGACCTTCCAGGATTCATTCATTGAGATATTTCATTTACAGAGCTTTAGCGATTTCATAAGATGATTGAATTAAGAATTTTGATTGAGTTAAAGATTGTCATCGAAGACTTTGAATAAACTTAGCCGAGTTAGCGTGGGATAAAATTAACAGGATAAAATTTCACTCCTTCAATTGTTTTGGGACAATTTTTTAATTTTTGTCGCGGCGACTATAAAAATGACTAAACTATCATTTTTTAATATTTTCTAAATCTATCACTTACTCCTTGTGCCGTTTCAGCTTTTACCAACACAAGCCTCATTAGAATGAACCTCGGACACAAAAATATTCCAATAAACAGCGCCTTAGAGCCTATAATGCCCGCTAAGCCAGCAAAATATTGTGTGCTTTTTATTCAATTATTCAGAGCATATTTCTATGAAATAGAATTTCATTTATATATTTTTCCAATTTTTAATTGCAATTTATATAATAAGCTACAATTTCCATAAATTTGTTTAATTAAACATTATCGAGCTAAATATTCATGAATATATTGTTTTCAGCACCAAGCATTGACATTTCAGATGCATGGGTAGCCCAGCTATTCATGACCAATAGCCAAAGTAGAGCATCATCTATGTAAAAAAGTATAATAAATATAACTAAGAGGAAGATCGGGCATGAAGGCAGGCAGTTGCTATAGTGTTTGACACTAAAAAGTTATCCAACAACTCTCCGCAGTTTATTGGAGCAACAGCGAGGAACAGGTCAACGTCTCATGATATTTATACAATTTAAAATGCGCTGCTCGTGGGCTTGTGAATTTTTGGAACGGATAATTTTGTGGCCATCTGCATGAAAACAATTTTATTTTCCGCGTTTATAATCTTTCTTAATTATTTCAATTTGGAAGGGTTGATCGGGTGGTGGATAAAAGTATGTTCGTGAAATATTATCGGATTTATTCACGTGCGCTATTGACAAAAAATTATCCTGACCTCATCCGATTTGACATGAAATTTGGTTATTGACCAATTTTTATTGCGTATCACAGGCATTGAGATAATGAAATTGCGTCAGACTCAACAAAATGCTGAAGTTGCCCTTCATTCATTCACTTGCATTGCGTCGCAGTTCATCTAAGTACCTCAAGGTAATCGGGTCTGAGTTGATCTCAAGTGCGTTTAATGTCGTAGTTTGACGAAGCCAATTGAGTGCGTCACTCTTCACATAATATCAAAAGCGCAAACAGTTAGGATTTAGCGCCTGTGCCGAAGTTCTTTAGATATAGAGCGGTGTTTGTTTCTGCTATTTGAGCGGGGCACCACAGTCGCGTTCAAATTTCCGGTGCGTTGTAAATCCATCAAATAAATTAATTTCATTGTTATATCCTCTTATCTGACTTCCGCATATGAAGCGAGGAATATGTGCAGCAATAAACAAGCACGAGATCCTTTCTTCACTAAACTTTAACCTGAGATACATTTGAACATTAGTGATAAAGGATGAATGAGAATCTTTTTTACTGTCGTTCATCTGATAACCACATTACAGTATTGAGAATAAACACTTAAATTGTATTTTCATTTGACGCTATCGAGTACGCTGCGGTGAATACTCGACGAGCATTCAGAAAGTTTTATGTTGATTAATATTGTGCTTGGGATATATTAAAGTGCAGACAACATATACCAGGAATTTATTATTTTGAATTAAAGAATTATTCTCTTGTACTCTTTGTAGTGTTGAAGATTTTATGATATATTGAGTTAATTACGACTTTAATTTTAATTAAATTGTTCATGTGACACAATTTAGTCCAGGTTTAGGCTGGGAAAGACCCAAGAAATAGGCAATGTAAATTTGTTTTCTCACATAGATTTTAATTTTAAATCTACGCAACAAAATGTGATAAATTATAAGTGTTCATAACGCGTAACATGACAAGATAGGTTCAGGGTGTCAAATCATATATATCCGGTAACATAATAAATGTTGATACATTGTGTCACGCCTGAATTTATCATGTCATATTGTATTTAGTATCTATACATATATTTCTATTGTATTCTATGATTAGTATCGTCAGATGTATCAACCGGACTCTAAAGTGATAGATTCTTGAGCAGGTTTTGGTCGCCACAAAGCGAAGCAAGCAAAGAACGCCGGAGCTTCTAAGGCACCGGGGAGCCGAGCTTGCATCGAGTGTAGGACAGCTAAGGCGGCAGTCTGTCCCTCCACCCCGACTGTATTTCCGCCCTCCTTCGCTGCGATCAATTTCGTCCCTGTTTAACTGCTTGCCAGCTCTCCCGAGATGCCGTTAGTCGCTAGGATAACTACTCCTTCTCCTTCACATATTCCTTAATTGACTCGAACGGAATAATTTAGTAATTTAAGGGTGATTTCTCTGATGGTCCTTGCTCGGGGGACTTGATTTGGGCTTTACTATGAACGCTTATTACGACATATTCAAATTTGCTTTAGTCCTTAATTGAGGATGAATGCATCGTCTATGTGTGCAGATTTTTCCATAAAAAATAGGCATGCAAATATTTCCTCACGTTTGTGTGAGAAATAGTGATGACAGTTTATCCATAATTTCACGTAACAGAAGCTTGGGCCCAGTGTCGAGAAGATGGTGAAAAAATCGATGCGTCCAAGTACGTGCCAAATGCCACCACGTCGCTATTTGGCGGCTCGGCGATTGCCATCAAGCACATATTGTCACCAGGCAGTGAACAATGCCGATTTTCAACGCAACTCCTGATTGTAAAAATCAACGGGTAATGAAGATGTCAAATTGATTTTACATGGAAAGATGGATAAAATTTAAGTTCGGGATGAGGTCAAGCGAGGCTTCCCGCGCCAACGCTTTGGCTGATAAATGAATGGAGTTGATAAATATTATCTAGGGAGGCATGTTATGCGATAATATACGGCGCCCGCATGGATGGTTCGGAAAAATACTACTCGGAAATAAATGTTAAAAGCAAAACATAAACCTCACAAAGGAATTCAGAAAATTGTGTTCATTAAATCTCCGTTGAATTGAAGCCATACAATAACGAATATATGATTATTTTCGTCATATCTTCGTATGTGACTTCTCCCTAACATAACTCGTCTTATATTAGTGAAAATTTAAAAATCATTACCGTCATCGATATTCATGAGTATCACTTAAAGTGTATCAATTGTGCCCACAGAAAGTGCGACCGAAACAATTGCATGCTCACTCGCTCAGTCAACGAACGTGAAGTCATTTGGCAAGCGCCGAGGTTTGCTAGCATTTAGTGCGTTAATTAAGAGACAACGCGTGTAGCCTGCTAATAGGTGCCCAGTGAGACGTTAAAATCACCCCGTGGCATTGACAGTTAATTGCCAAATCCTTCGCCAAAAAAAAGCAATTCTGTTATCTCAATAAAAAATGGTGCACGGAACTTACTGTCTAGAGTTGTATTCACATACTTTTTCTCTATTAAAATAAACACATTGCAATGAAATTTTATTAGTATCATAAATAAAATTTTTCATTCACAGGCTCATTATATGAAAATTGATCATGTACCTATTTTCCACCAATTTTATGTACCAATTATGTAAAAATTTATCAATTTTCCACCAATTGTCGAAATAAATATTTGACATAACCACTCAAAAAAATAGTTTTGACCGTCATGAACAAGTCAAAAATACGCTATATATTCACTCATGTATTTCACGTTATTTTACCGGGAAGAGATGACCTGTAAATACTTCTAGGTTTCAAGCTGAATAAAATGAATTTAATTGAGCTTAGATAGTTGCAAGAACAAGAAAACTTATTCTGAAATAATGTGCGGATTCTTTTTAGCGCATTTTCTCATTTATTGAAAAAATGTACTATAATTGTGCTCGCCATGTCCGTCTGTCTGCCTGTCTGTCTGTCCGTCCGTCTGTCCGTCCGTCCGTGACTTCAAGTTTTCGTCGACGAGAAAATACGCTCTCTGTCACTCACTGCAGTGAGTACTGAGTTATATTTTTTCTTATGAGTATTGATCACTTTGAACGGGTCAGGACCAGCATGACTTATCACTTTGACTTATCACTTATCACTTATTCGTTAAGACAGATGAATATCCTGCCATACATCTGCATCTCATGAGTTCAAGATGGTCTGGCCAGTATTGTTCGATCATTTTATTTAAGTTATTCAATTTTTTATTACATTTATATAACATTTATTATTTTTTAACTATTATTTTTATTTTTTATTATATTAATTCTTAAATTTTGTATTCATTTTTAAATATAAAGTTTTTAGTTGTCCTAAATACAATAAGTTCTTAATTTCATTATTCTTTCAATCACAAATTATTACTTACGTATGCAAAACAACGTCGATTTCATAGTCAGTTTCTCATAAATCAGGTTATTTTTCTTCCTATTTTTTCTGAAGGAAAGATTTGCATGGTACACTAGTATCAGGTCGCATTTAATATTTTCTGCAGATAAATATAATTAAGTTCTCAATGTCTGCCTGATGTTCAATAGAAAATATAAAAACTTGACGGGAATCTGCTTCTCAGCACATTTATAATGTGCTGAGCATTTATGCTCATTTATTCTCAGCATTTATGCTCATTTATAAATAAGCGACATTTTTCTGTGGCTATGCTCATTGTTGAACATTTTCAATTACCATTCTTTGAAAAGAAAGACCAATCAGCTTGCATTTTTTTCATGAATATTTTAGTCGCGGATATGCATGAAAAATGCGATTAAAGTAACTTATTTTTTACACCTTTTATTTAAATACATTTTTTATTTATTTGCAATCGTCTGATACGATTTACGTGTTTACCACCCTCCAGAATTTTCATTCTAACTCCTGTCTTCCAAGACTGTCATTTTTTTCCTTGTTGTAGTCGCTCAAATTCTAATGTTGAATTATATTTCAGGATGGCAGTGCCTCAGGGGCGGTGGTAGCGGCACTTCCATCTCGGCCGAACGAAGTAAATGGCATCTCAAGTGGTGACATCGAGCCACGAGTGGAAGCGAGTGCAGAAAACGAAGAACGATCGTCAATAGAAAACGTAGTCTCTTCAAATGAACGGATTTTTTCAACAACGTCTTCAAGTGACCCAAGGACAGAGTTTTGTTTTGGAACAACCGAGGGACGTGGATGCTATGACAATGAAAAAGAAGGAATTTCTGAAGGAAATATCGAACCGGGCGAGTCGATAAATGAACGAAGCAAAGGCGAAATTTGGCAAAGATCCAAGTCCAATCTTGAGTCACGAGCTGCTGGTGTTATGGAGAAAATTGAATTCGACAAAAGTGTCGATGAGGTATACCGAGAACTAATCAATGAACTGAGATTGAAATTGGCGCTAAATATCGATAGATCAGAACAAACTGAAGGGGCACAAGCCGAAGCTAGTGGAAGCGGCAGTTGATCTCATTGGTTGCTCTAAAATTTAATGGACCAGCGTGCCTTCACATTTAAGATATCATCTGGCACTTAAAATCCTTCGTAATTTGATGAAGGTGTCATCTCATTGAAAAGAAAATATGTTGAGAAAATTTTATTTACACTAGCCAAGAAATTTGCTATATGAAGGTTATTCACAGTTTTGACCAAATATGACAACAATAACTGCCTGTTCGAGACAATTGGAATCATATTGCTATCGATTCAATGAGTTACCCAAAACCACAAGAGCAGAAATATCTGTTGAACGAAACATGATACAATAGAGTATCTGACCGGCTGCTGTAAACTTGGAATTGTCATTCTTAAAACCGTCTCTTAGAATCAGAATTTAAATTTTACCCCATCGTCCTTGCGATACAACAGGATATCGTACAACAGGCCGAACTTCACTTACAAATTTAAAGCTTCCAAACAATGATTTGCATCAATTCCCCAGTTACTGAATAGGTTCATTCAACTAGATGGTTTTGCATTCATCGTCGTAAACTAATGCCTCTACTTCGTTTTAAATAATATCCATAGATTGATAATTCGAATGAACGGAATCAATAACTTAATTAAGTATCAGCCCCTTCTCTTCAAACAGACTTGCAAGTGAACAATTGCAGAATTTGGAGCATAAAACAAATTGCTTCATTCAGAAAATATTATTCAAGATGTTCAAAGTCATCTAGAAATTTCTTCGCAAGAACCTTCTCTTCAGAGAACTTTATCATGCTCTACATCTACCCTGTAGATCCGAATTTGTGGGACAAAAGTGAACAAATTCGGTTCTAGAGAGGTTCGTGTGGTGCATACAAATCCTTCGGCAGCGCTCATCTCGGCATTCAAGCACAAACCGAGAACTACATGACATCGTTTTTTATTATTAGAATATATTGCAGGATTCTTTGGCTTAATCTATTATTTGTAAGGCATTTCACTCCACGTTACGAATGAGCACACGAATTATAATAGGATTATATTGGCTAACTTTCTATGAGGATGTTATCAATTCTGAGCGAGTTCTTACGAGAAGGAACGATAGTGAAATTCATCTGATGTAGCCTTAAGATTATCAATATTATTTGGTTTTGTTTTAGATAGCCTTAGATAGCAATTTTTGGTATTTATTTATTTTCTAATTACAAAAAATTCATTCAATTTACATTAACAAGTGTAATAATATCTAATGTCAACTATTCATAAAGTGACAACGTTCATAATAGTTTAATTGTAAATAATTTCAATGTATTATAATACTACGTCGGTAAACGAAGATGTATTAAGTTATTCCAACCGGAATAAGAATATACATTCATTCAACAAATTTCACAATGTACGTTGAATAATGGCCGGAACATAACAAAAACTTGTTCTGTGACTGAATTATAACCTCCTTTCAAGGCAGAATATTTTCAATCAATTAGAATTATTCAATTTAATTTGCGCTTAATGTTTGGCTACAACCTGTATTTTAAAGAATTTAATGGGCAAGGAAGCATCTAAGAAATTTTTTCCTTATTATTTAGTGCTAGTCGCATACATGAATTTGTCTAACTGGACTATTAACTCGACACGGAACTCTGCAGCTAAGTAGCTTAGATTGTGAAAAAATTGCGACAATTATAAAGAAATTTCTTCGTTCAGTTGATGAGCAAGGTCAATTCATTTTGCAGGAAATTTTCTGACACAATAATAATACATAATTAGTGCTGCGAAACTGGAAATTTCTGTGCATGATTGTGGATTCCTATTAAATGCGTAGAAACGATTGTGACGAGCAGTCTAAACGCTCTAAATTTTATTATAATTTACCAAATCGAACGAAAGAATTCTCAGGGTTTGTGATGCTCTCGTAATATTTGGTCTGGACCTGATTTTAACTGCTTGTGCTTGACTGACCTTAGTTTCCTTAGTATTTCCTTAGTATTTGTTTGGGACATAGCAATCCCAGGCCACACCATCAAACGAATTTCGAAAAAATTCTTTTATACGAATAATAATAAAACTTGGACACATCTTTAGTAAATATAAGGATACCATAATTTTTTTATATTGCTGAAAATACTTGCACAAACACAAACAATTCCACTGTGCGTATTAAAGCGTTTCATAACACTGAGGGATCTAAAATCAATGTGAACCTCGTAGTAGTGGCAATTAGGTTATTTAAAAGAATCATACCTAATTCCACTGGCCAGTCCACACAAACGAGGGCTGGTAAATAAACTTTCTTGATGCACGAAATTGAAACTAGTATTCTAAACGATAGAAACAAAAAATATGGTACTAAACAATCATAAAAAATGAATTCACTCTTCTTATATATGAGTACACTTACACNAATATTCGACGTGACATCGATCGATATGATCATTCACATTCCCAAAACTCTAAATTCTCACACCTAACTTAATTAGAGAGTAGGTATGATGTTTCATTATCTTCCTCTACACTTGACGTGCTCGCTGCAAGTTTGAAACTAGAATAATAGCTCATTAAACAGCGGGAGATGACTAAACGCTTCCATACGTAAAAACTTCGTAGTTTGTCGTGCGTGAGGCTTTACGACTTACGATGCGAGTTAGCAACAATTACATCACAGCCACGAGTGTAGCCGAGATAGCATGAAATTGCGACTGCGGCCATTTATATATCACGTCAGAGAGGGCCGAGAACATCAGTGTTCGACGATCACACCACGACGAAAGACATGGATCTGAAAGTGGTACGTTCAGAGAATGTCAATAAAACATTATCATTTGAATATTTTTCTTTACTAATGCCAATAATGTTACAATTAATTTTTGAGAATCGCGATTCATTTTTAAATACCTATAATATGATGAAGTGCGGTTTAACATATGATAATCTGGAAACCTCCTAATGTTCAACAATTATTTATTTTCTTTGAAATAACGAACAGAGTATTTTTGCATTGAACCGAAATGACAGGATAGAATTATTCAAGTTATATAAACAAGCATTCAGACTACTAACATGAATGTTGAGTGAGTAAGCTAGAAGAAATCTCGAAATAGACAGATAAATGAGATAATGAAATAGGATAAGGTTAATACATAAATGAGATAATTAATAGACTTTAAATTATGGCCTATTATGGAACAAGGACAATTTAATTGAAATTTCGGATCACAATAAATATTGTTCGGAATTTAGTCACCAACAGAACTTACTGTATGTATTCCAACAGATGTATGAATCTTGAGGTTGGATTGAGACCTTAATTACATAAATCCAATTTAAGACAGTTTAATTTTAGGCCTTATATGTTCAAAAGTTCTAAATTGAGTGGATATGAACGACAGGCTTTATTGCTAGGCTGTTTAAATAATTCAATAGAGCACGGCAATATGCTATTAATATATAATAAGAAAAATGTTACAGTTCCTGCATGAGGGGCACTGAGAAAAAAGACGAACGTTAGTCATGAATAAAGAATGCATTAAATTATTAAATAATGCAGGCATTAGGTTCATTTTATTGATGCTCGAGAGCACATCAACATATGACCCGACCCAAGTCACGAACAACGTCATACATGAGGCATCAAAGCCTTATGTTTTTTGACTGGAATGTTTTAAGGTTAGAAATTTGAAGCCTTGCTACAATTTCATAATGCAGTAAATTATCCGCAAACGTAATTAACACTCACAATGTCGAGCAAGTTGGCAGACTAGATGACACGCGGTAGAGATCGTATAACATGATTTATTGTCCCCGTTGATTTTCGTTAATAAAGAGCACCTTCACATTCCGATTGCCCAGTCACTACTGCAATATTTTAGCGGCTCATTCTTCGTATTTAAGTAATATTATAAATTCACTGTGGTAGATATCGTTTAGCTGTATTTATAACCACCGTTTATTTTCATTAATAAAGAGCACCTTCACATTCCGATTATTGTCCATTCATAACCACAATATTTTGGCGGCTCGAACATCGTATTAAAGTATATTATAAATTCATTGTTTTCTCAGATATTATTCTTGCTGATGGTGGCCGTGATGGTCAGCTTAGCCGCCCCTGGGTTTGGCTATCATGGTAAAAGTCACCATCATATCGGCCATCATCACCACGGCCATCATCACGGCCATCATCACGGTCACCATCACGGTCACCATCATAAACATGGGCATCATCATAAACATGGGCATCACCACAAGCATGGTCATCACCATTCCCACCACCATAAACACTCGCATCATCACAAACATTCTCATCACCACAAACATGGTCACCATCACAAACACGGTCATCATCACGGCCATAAACACGGTCACCATCACAAACACGGTCACCACCACGGCCACAAACACGGTCATCACCACGGCCACAAACACGGTCACCACCACGGCCACCACCACGGACACCACGGTTTTCACGGCTATCACTAACAGTGAGTATTACAGTATCACTATAATTAAGACTCGATCGATATTTCGATTTGAAATTTTATTACATTAAACGCTGAGGCTAATACTTTAGGATTGACTGACAATCTCAGTCACGCTATGTTTACTGTTGGAATTTACTATGTTGAATTAAATTGGAATAAATGTGAACACACTTGTACCAGAAATATCAATCAATAATTCAGGAGTTTAATCCCAAGTATTCACCGATATGACGTATAAATCTGCTCGAATTAAATAATTAACAAGACTAGTTAACTTCTCTTTTTCCTTCGAAATTATGTTCACATTTGAAACACAGTATGACAGAAATATAAATATTCGAGCGCTAAGCTGATATGAAACATTTTATACAAGTTAGAATCAGTGAGCAAAGTAGGAAAAATATAATACGCTTTTTTATTTATTTGATAAATCCTTTTGCAGAATCCGGCCTGACGTGAACGCAGCCGATCACTGAACGAAGCGCCTAGAACGACGGCTCGCGAAACGAAGCCCTTACGATCTCCAATTTCTCTTGAGCTTCCATTATAAAATATATTTAATAATAAATTCTCGAAAATGCACTGTGCAAGAAATAAAAACTGATTGACATCAACCAAAGATTTTCACTTCCCACCCGTGTTGCATCATGGAACTGTATGGTTTTCTTTCGTAAAGAGCTGAGAAAAAGTAGCTGAAACTAGTAGAGTATATGAGTTTTTGTCTCAAATTTAAATGCAGCAAATCTATGTTCATGTTAGTGATCTTATGAAGTTTGTCCATCCGAGATTGTTAAGGACCTTAGTTTTGCTCCACTACGTAATTAGATGGCAGGCAAAGAATAAAATCCATATTATGCAGTTGTGCCAACACACTTCGTTAAACTATAGAAGCTCGCTATAAACTTTCCCAAGTTATTAGCATATTCAGCTGCATCGACTGGCACCTCAATATATTTGTTAAGCCAACAAAACTATTTGTCGACAGTGACTATACATGCATCGTTTCGAGCGGCTAGAACATCAGACCGCTGCCAAAGAACAGTTGGTCAAATAAACTTGCCGGCCATAGGACATCAGATGAGAAGAATATTAGCATTAAAACGCTCTTAAGTAGAATGATCAGTTATCATTCCGACCATGCAGATAACGTTGAATAAACTATATACCTAGATAATAGACGCTTATGATGCACATTTGTTTCGTAACGAAAAATTTAGAGGTTAACTTATCCCTGTAAAGTTCGAGACTGAGTGTGAATTTATGACGAAAATATGATAATATGAAATGGAATAAAAATATAAGTGCTACAATTGTGTCACAATTATAATTTAAGCATAAATTTATCCATATAATATAATATAATATTATATGTAGCATATAATAACTGTCTCATATAATATTCTCTTGCACTTAGCAATCACAAACTCGAATAAAGTAAAAAATTCAAATATTGTTAGAATAGTTGAACGATTGAAGAGAATTTAAGGTAAGCAAACATAAAATTAGAGTAGACAAGAGAAATAATAGAAAATAAAAGTATTGAACATATACAAGTCAAACCCAGAGAAAAAACTATTTAAATTAAAGAAAAATTATATAATTACTTAATAATTTCAGAAATATCAGAAACTAATTTATAGAGGTGAATAAAAGTGAACGATTAAGAGTCAATCGGAACTAACAATAACACAAGATTTTCATATATCAGCGAGCGAGAACAAAAAAAATATAACTCAGTACTCACTGCAGTGAATGACAGAGAGCTCATTTTCTCGTCGACGAAAACTTGAGGTCACGGACGGACGGGCAGACAGACAGACGGACATGGCGAGCACAATAGTGCATTTTTTCCATAAATGAGAAAATGCGCTGAAAAACAGTGTAACGCAAGAAGCAGCGATTAAGAGAATGACTGGTGAAGTAACGGAGGGGTGAGGAATTGAAGAAAATTGAAATCACGAGCTAAGAAGATACATATAAAAGTGATGAAAAATAACAAAGAAAGATATGAGAAATGAGAGAAGTACTGTGGCTTGCCAGAGTCCCAGAAAATTTTAAATGTGCAGGCTAATTTTAAGTGTTAGCTCTCTATTCAAGCAGATTCATTCACTGTTCATTCTATTTTTGTAATGTTCCAAAGAAAGAGATACTGTTTTTCGACTAATAAGCGAGTCAATAGTCAATAGAAGGATCATTGTGTTCATAGAAGATTATGTTTTAAATATTTATCGTATTATATATATATGCGAGCTATTAATCAATTCGTTTATTAAATAAATTTTTACTTCCGTTTATGACCGAAAGAAATTCATTACCGGGGAAAAAAAATTTCATGTGGAATTTAGATATCCGTGGGAAACGCATTAATAATTGGTAAAAAATCGTTGACCGTATTCACACGCTCTCGAAATTCAAATAAAACAAGCATAAACAAACTCGTGTCTATTGAATGTTTTGGCGCGCAAGAAAGCCTGAAAAAATTGCTGTTTGCTACGAAATGTGGTGAATTTTCCCGCAGAGTTAAGGGCCAATCGTACCTTGGAGACGCCGGTTGATATGAATATCAGAACAGCCATGAAATGAGAACAGCCAAGTAAACTGTCGCGCTAAAAGTTTCCCGTATAATTTATGAATAAAAAATAGGAAACCAATGAATGAAACATAGAAAATACGGCGAATAAATTTATTGTAATTACCATACTAATTATAGTCATATAATAGACCATGAACAAAAATAATTCAAAAACTATTACCCTGAAATATATTTGTGTAAAGTAAATTTTTTATTTACCACGTAAAAATAGACTGAACGAAGAAACAGTTGGCAAGGGTGGCATAAGCTGGAAAAATGTACCAGCTTCTACTTTTGATGGTTATACAAATTTTAGATAATCCAAACAATTCCAAATTCTCGCTCTAGAAATGAGTCTGATAAATGTGAAAAAACGCAGTTACTTCGTCAGATAAACAAGTCTGTAAAATAAAATCAGGTTAAATACGCAATATATTAATGCCATTTGATTAAATGATAACAGCTCATTATTATTTCAGCTACCGATAAATTTACGCATATTTTTCCTGCGAGAAATCAAACTTCTACCCTCGTTAAAATCAGTACAGTGGGATATCAATGCGTCATTATTTTAATTGAGATGGAGAATCGAATTAACTAGACAATTGCCACTATCGACCACTATCATGGTTTTTCTCTTGCATAACAATGGCAAGCCGCCATTCAAAAACCCTATATCTCCTTAGCTTCACTAATCTTGTCAACTGACACAAGCTGAGTCTTCATAAGACTTAATATTGAGTTATCGCAGCCAAGAAATTCTTCCGCGTCTTGTATCAATTCAATTCCAGCCTAAATTATTGCCGTTAATTATACTTTCATCATCGATAATTAACCGTTATTTTGGATTGTATGCTTGTTTTGCACGATTCACAATGCATATAATTATTAAGTGGCTGGGTGTATATGCTCAATTTCTACGAAACCGTAATGAAAGTTGAATCTAAAATTTTATTTCAGAGATGGAATTTTAGGGAAATTTCGAGCAGAAAGTCAAATAATTAGGCGATAAATTAATTTCCTAAAATTCTGCTAATGTTAGTATATTCAAAGTGGAAAATCTTACATTTCTTGTAAACTAAGAAAAGGAATTTAAATGTGAATTGTGGGTTTGAACAGGTAGTTCTTTGATTTAGATTGCCGTAATTTCTTAGCACTCGTGGTGCTGCAGTTGGAACAAGCATTTGGAATATGGATGTATTAATGCATTCAAATTGCATGATTAGTGTACCAATGCAATGACACGGTCCAAAAAAAACATCACTGCGTTAAGTATTCCGGTGAAAATTGCCCTACATCGGAATACTAGTCGGTCCCATAAGCACTAAAGAAATAGTTAGATTTAAAGATTTTTGAGTCTTTTGTGCTTCGCCAAACATTTTATATTTATGGTAATTTTACTGAAAAACAGTCAAATTCGAAATTAAGATTCAGATTTGTAGCTCAACTTTCAAAATATTCCAGCGCAATTATTCTTTCCGATACCAGACGTAGAAATTACGATTGACGTTGACCTAGGGACCAGCTTGAGGATTATCAGAATATTCCGTCCAAAACATTTCGTTCTCTTATGGAATCACTTTTTTATGGTCTGTTTCGTCAAATTTGCTACCTGAACTTGACCTTTGTGCGTAAAAAAAACCGTCTCCAGCAAACTGGAAAATTATGGGCACACTTAGCGCTATTTACATTTGACCTCGACGAAGCATCAAATTAGACCATAGATGATGATGTAATCATCGCTGCTTTGTTTGGAGACCAGAACGAAGCCTAGGCTAGTGTCCCCAGGTGACCAGGGTATGTCTCAAGGGACGACGACAGAGGTGTGGAATGTTAAATTTGTAGTGTCAATGCAGGAGTTCCGACTGAATTGGTGCTGTACTACCATAATTAATTACGAGTTATTAGCTCAGTTATCCAATAAATTAAGTCTTTTCGAGCTAACGCATCAATCATATATGAGAAATAATCCGCTACTTGTGCTACACATATAATATGTAAAACAGCTGTTTAAGCAAATTTTGAAAGTGCGACCCTGTTAGATAGTAAACGAATGAAATACTCAGAGAGTTAAGTTCATCATATTTGTCGTAGGACGAGTTTAGAATGTAATGATGATTAGAATAGTGTGAATCTCAAATCACCATCAAGGAAGTTTAATTTTTTAAAGCACTGAACAGCGGAGCGTTCGTTTCAGACACTATCCCATGTAGAGTTGACTGCCAATATTAGGCAGTAACGGAAATAATTTAATAACTAATAGCATTAACAAATGCTGCCAATTTTAAGCAGTAACGGAAATGATATTAATAACTAATATCATTAACAAATGCGGTGGAATGTAAACAGCTGGAGATTTGATATGATAATATATTAGGGCATCATAATATTATAACTCAGGGTTTTTATAATGTGTGCCCTTTTATACAAAATAATGCACCAACCATCCCTTAACCTCCAAGGAAAGAGAAAGTAAATTCTTTAGTTTCTCCTGAGATGATTCATTGGATAATTAATATGCCCTCATGAGTCAATATATAACCCTCATAATTAATATGCCCTCAATAATATATAACCCTCATGAGTCTGGCTTGAGTTACCCTTGGCCTTGTTATTAGATATGATAACAAAACTTTCAATTTTCATACTCCAGGCCAAGAACGGCGAAACAAAGTTTAATCGACTTAAATTTAAAGTTCATACGCTTAAAAAACGTTAACTCAACGTCAGACAAAGTTGTAATTTGACAGAAAAACTATTAAATAAATATAATTTTACGAACACCGTAACTTCATTGCTCTGCTGTGACAACTGTTGAACATTTCAAGCTGTTTATTGCATTTTGTACAAATAACATGACTAAAAGAAAATAATTCATACTTTCTTTATGAAAAGTACGAATTATTTCATACATACACGATAAATCATGAATAGATTTTTTTAAACAGCTTTTATCCACCAAGAAAAATATATTGAACCGCATACATACACATATTTAGCTCTGTATCCATTACATTGGA